TTCAATGACCTTGAAGTCTTGTACGTTCTCTTTAGCAAGACACAAAGAATCCATGATTTGTTCGAAGCTGTCCAACTGTAAGAGAATCTGAAAGTCCTTTCTCTAAAGAGACTTAATACTGTTCGTTGGCATTCACGCGAGTTGTGTCTAAAGGTCCTTCTCTCTCGTTATGATTGCATTTTAAGTGTCCTGGAAACCGTTGCGTTGGACAGTTTAATTGATGGAAACCCACGAAAAACGAGCATTGGCTTATTGAAGCAGATTCAAACAAAGCAGTTTCTGGCTACCGCGTACCTCTTTCGAGAAATATTTGCATCCACTGGTCCGCTAAGCCGATATTTACAACGCGTTGATGTTAATTTTGGAAAAGCCCTGGGTATGGTCGAAAGCGCGATTGACGAGCTCAATGAATTGCGTAAAGAACCGGAGCTAATTATCAGATACGTTGAGCAAAAACACGACTCTCCCAGCGTGACTTGGCAACAACCAAGAATCAGACGTCGAAGACGAATGGATGATGAAAATGCCCAAGACGAACCTGCTGAAACACCAGAAGATCACTGGAAACGTAACACATTTTACGTTTCTGTGGACACGATCTTAAATTCATTGAAGAATCGGTTTGAGAAAAACCAACCCTTGCTCCAAGCTTTTTCGTTGTTTGCCCCAAGCCGTTTCCCACAACTTGTGAAGAATTTCAAAACCGCACATGATCTTCAAGCGTGCCTTAACACCTTTTGTGAAACCTACAGTATAGATGCGTTTAGATGTGCTGACGAATTGTTCAATTTTGTTCGTTCTTTTGAGAAATTCGACTGTTCAACTGTCTGCCAGCAAGATGATGATGATGACAGCGAAGGCGACGATGACTATAATGATGATGACGGCGAGGACAACGGATGGTTATGATGATGATGACGACGACGACGACGAAATCTCAAGCACGTCAGATAATGAGCAGAGCGACAGCGGCGGCAAGAAAGCTGAAAAACAAACGAAGAAAAAAGTTCCATCTTTCTCTGAAGCTCTTTCACTCCTTTGTAACCCAGATTATAGTTTGGTTGATGCGTATCCAACTCTCTGTCGCGTTTATGCTATTGCTGTGGCCATCCTAGTTAGTTCGTCGACTGCAGAGCGTTCGTTTTGTGCACTCAAGAGGGTCATGAAGACTCGCATTCGCTCATCCATGGTTCAGGAGAGACTTGAATCTTTGCTTTCAATGTCAATCGAGCGTAAAATTTTGCTCAAATGCGATAAAGAACATCTCATTAACTTGTACGCAGGGCTTTCTCCCGAACTGTCAAAAGCTCTATTTTGACTTTCATTTGGTTCATTGGTTGTCTAGTTTTAAAACTGCACATGTGATATTATGCTCAATTTGCATAAACTATAGCTTATAGTCTATAGTCTATACGTTATTGACATTTGACCTGGAACAAAATTATGTTCTCTCATTATCGGCATATGATAGTAAAAATTGTATTATAGTATAATTATATCCGTTGATAATATGCTACAACAAAACCTGACTAACATTGTTTTAGATTGGTACTTGGTGGAAAACTGTTTCACAAATGTGTTTTCAGAATGCTGGAAATGCCATTTCACAGACTTAGATTTTAAAAAAATTCTGGAAGAGCATCCCCGCAGACCCTTCTAGGTCCCTCGTGCCTACGACACTCGATGTGTACACTCGCACTAATTTTCGGGAGGCTGGGCGAGGGGTGGGGGCGCAATTATCGAGATAACTCTTAGGGGCGACAAATTTAACACTGGCCCCCCTTGAAATTTTCGGGCCACCACGCCACTGAGCGTGCGGCATTTATCTCAGCCATATAATAAATGTTATTGTTATATACAGGGTGTATAAAAAAAAGGCCCAAATGGAAAATTTCCTCAAACTCAGTTATTCCGCAAACTTTGTGATATTTTGTGTAACCAAGGCAAATTAGGAGTCTTTGGGTATGTGCAGGCCAAAAAAAAAATTCTAAAGTAAATTTATGCTACCAGAGGGGGTGCTTCTTATCGTCCAAGTTTGAAATGGCTTGCGCACAAAACTTTCAAGCTAAAATTGGGATATTATTCAACTGGTTACAAGTATGAAAGGTGTTTAATAAACTGTCAAAGTTTCACAAAAAATGGTGCTTATTAAAAGGAACGCGAAACCCCTAAAGTTGCCACATTTTCCATTACGCGCAGTTGATTCAAGGCATAATTGATTTTAGCGTGACCGATCTCATGCAAGGATGGGCACATGAATAAACTAGAGGGCACTCAGAGACTGCATACCTCCGCCCGTTACTCGGAAGTGAAACGCAACCTTGGAATTTCCTAAGAAATCCACTTTATAATTCTTAAGCATAAAAGATTTCAGGCCCCCGCGAATTGAAATCGAATTGCTAAAGAACATATTACTGTTGTTGTACTGTACAGTACTTGTAAAATAAAAACTTATTAAGTGTCATTAAATAAATGCATAAATTTTGCTTTATGCACTCGCGCGTGCAGTAATTTTCACAGTTGTGCTATTTTAAATTCCCAGGCAGCTAAAATCTTTTGTCTTTAAAACAATGTCGATTTCTTGGGAAATTCCGAGGTTGCGTTCTTTTTATACACCCTGTATTGAAGTAATCTAATATGTTGTTAGAATTTGAATGGACTGGCACTTTGCTGAACGTAATAATGCGTAACTCCGTAAGCCTTGTTTTAGACATTGAATTTCGGTCGCGTGAAATGCAACTAAAACAATAGATAATGAAGGCCGAAGCTTAATGAGGTTTATCATCTCATTACTGTCTCAGCACTGAGTGCATAAATTATACACGTCCTAATTACGCATTCAGTAATATATTTTGTTAATTGACCGGGAAAAGCAAGACAAAATTTTGTTCATTTCTCGTTCAATTTTTAACCAAATTCAACCAAATTTTAATCAGTTCTTTGCCGATGGGAAATGCATTCAAAACATTTCGTACGGATATGTTTGGTAATTCTTGAGTTATCGTGCTCACAGACAAACACATACACATACACACACACACACATACACACACACATACAAACCCAGATGATTACATAACCTCCTGGCGGAGGTAATTAAAGCAAACAATTGAACACATAAACAAAGCGATTTAATAAGCAGTTGTTTTGATTCATTATGCTAGTCCTCAACATGTCCACCGTTTCTTTCCAAACAAACTTCCGCTCGCTTTTAAGCTTTTGAGAGAATTAACAATCAAATCAAAACTAACGAACCAAAACAAATGCTTATTAAATCGCTTTGTTTATGTGTTCAATTGTTTGCTTTAATTACCTCCGCCAGGAGGTTATGTAATCATCTGGGTTTGTATGTGTGTGTGTATTTGTGTGTGTGTGTATGTGTGTGTGTTTGTCTGTGAGCACGATAACTCAAGAAATACAAAACATATCCGTACGAAATTTTGTGAGTGCATTTCCCATCGGCTAAGGAAGAACTGATTAAAATTTGGTTGAATTTGGTTAAAAATTGAATGAGAAATAACAAAAGTTTGTCTTGCTTTTCCCGGTCAATTAAATAAAACTTATACTGAATGCGTAATTAGGACGTGCATAATATATGCACCAGCCATTCAAATTCTAATAACAATAGATTACTTCAATATTTTGCGCGTAGGCGGAGGTATGCAGTCTCTGAGTGCCCTCTAGTTTGTTCATGTGCCCATCCTTGCATGAGATCGGTCACGCTAAAATCAATTATTCCTTGAATCAACTGCGCGTAATGGCAAATGTGGCAACTTTAGGGGTTTCGCGTTCCTTTTAATAAGCATAATTTTTTGTGAAACTTTGACAGTTTATTAAACACCGTTCATACTTGTAACCAGTTGAATAATATCCCAATTTTAGCTTGAAAGTTTTGTGCGCAAGCCATTTCAAACTTGGACGATAAGAAGCACCCCCCTGGTAGCATAAATTTACTTTCGAAAATAATGTTTTGTCCTGCACATACCCAAAGACTCCTAATTTGCCTTGGTTCCACAAAATATCCCAAATTTTGCGGAATATCTGAGTTTGAGGAAATTTCCCATTTGGGACGGGTTTTTTTTTATACACCCTGTAGTTAGTGTCAAAGTTCAATGTTTCTGTTTGCCGATTGGTTAAAACTGTGTCACGTGCCGGTCCACAAAACGGCATGTTCGGCAACCGGTCCGCAATGAAACATTTATTGACCGGTCAATAATAAAATGGGTGCAATACGCATGCGTGTCAACCATGAAGTTCCAAAGTTCATTTTTTAAACTTTTTACTAAACATTTACGGCGTTCCATTTATCCAGTTTTGGTTTCAAATTAAGTTCACTCCAATAACCGGTGAATTATTCATACTTCGACACTTATATACTATATAACAAAACACTTATTTACTGAGACCTCGGAAAAGTAGTGTGTTTTGTGGCCCCTCGACCACCGAGAACGGCGGTCTCGGGTCCACAAAACACACTGTTTCCCTCGGTCTCAATAAATAAGTGATAATTATGTGAGATTTTGATTTTAACATGTTATTTTGCACTTTGTGCATGAGCTCATTTTGATGTGAAATTTAAACTCGAACGCTTCCTAAAATCTTTTGAAATGTTCATGCATCAACTATGAAAATGCTTTTGCCGCGATAAACTGTTTAACTTAATAATAAAATAAAATAAGTTCAAATTATTGAGTCATTTCAATTCGGTCTTGAAATTAATTTGCTCTCCTTTACATTTTTAATTTTTTCTTAATTAAATTAAATGTAATTTCAGTAACCAGAGTCAATAGAAGGCGAGGGACTGGTCTGGAAACTGTATTGTTTATCCAATTGAACTCTTTGTTCGCCCGCGGTATAGTCACGTGACTAAAGTAGTTGCACACGGTAAAATTGAAACCAAACATACGATTGAAAATTGAAATCATTGAAACTAATTGAAACATATGATTCTTTACTTTTTTCGTACAAATTTCGTTTTAATACTCCATTGGTTGTATTGTATGCCTGGTGCCAACTGTGTGTTTTCGAACTGTGGAACAAACAGACGAGAAAAATATGATGGAGTTGGAATATTTCGAATCTCACAACGAAAATCTCCATTATATTCTGCTTGGCGCGAAGACGTTATCAGTATTATCAAGAAGTATCGAATGGACGATGAAACCTTTAAGCGACAAATCGAGGCCTGCAATATCAGTATATGCGAAAGGCACTATAAACAAGACGATATTGAATTTACAAGTAAGCTAATCCACGTATTATATTACAGTAACTAATAAGGTTTCAACACTCAAACAATATACTCAAAATACCTTAAAGGTGTGAAGTGTCATATCACAGATACAGGTCACATGCGTGTCAAATCACCACTAAACTTTTTTGGCTCCCAAGGATATAAAACTAGTACATATGCTGTAGCTTCATTATTAATTCAGTTCAATACGAAATTTATAAAACACTTTTCCAGCATTGTCAAAATAGCCTTTTTATGGATCATGAAGGTCATCATGTTGAGTGTCTTTCACATATCTTACAGATAAAAGTTGATTTTTTATTATTTATTCTTCCAGGTAAAGGAAGAAAAGCATTGGTAGTAGGTGCTCTTCCAACTATTAATCTGCCTGCAAGATCACATCAAGCAAAGCTAGCTCCAGCAAGACGACCTCTTACTATTGTTAATCAGAATGCTCAAAATACCACAGCAAGGATTGTTATAAGAATTTTAAGGAGTTATGTGAAAGAACTAAGAAATTAAAGCTTCCGGAATGGCAACAAGAATATACTAGTGAGAAATTGGTTCTAAAACTATTTGTGTCCCCATTATTAATTCCAAAGTTTGAGATTATTATAGAAGAAAATTTCCACTTCACTTGTGTTGTTTATGGATGGGTACTGGCCAGCAATCATTCTGTGTATGGTGGCAATAAAAGATCTTTGAAGAATATAACTGTATCTGAACTATTGCAGAAACTTACACACTACTGCCTTTGTCATGGTATCTCAGAGCAGACAGCAGTGTCTGTCCATCATGCTATTCCTTGTCGCACCAATATTGATCAGGAAATTCAAGAATCTGCAATCCCTATGGAAACAGTAATGTACATAGACCAAAAGAATGCCTTGTCTTGTATGCAAGCAGCACTGACACTACAAAATGTACCAACTGTTTAAGCTTTGAAAAAAAACTTACAAAACAGAAAACAATAAAAAGCAGAAAACTGAATGTTGCAGCAAAAGCAAATGCTCCTGTTTCCACCACTCACCCTCATCGTCTGAAATTAGCCCTACAGCAGCAGCGGCTAAAGTGTACACAGCTCGAGGGGGAATTGACCAAAATGAGGCAAGCTATCCAAAAATCTGGTGTGGTGCTGCAATCAGAATTTTCCCAAGATGTTCGATCTCTTATGAGTGGTAACAAAGAAAAACTCACTCCATTTATGAAGTTATTCTGGCAACAACAGCAAGAAGAATTTACCAAGAGTCCAAATGCAATCAGATATCATCCAATGATCATACGGTTCTGCCTGTCATTGGCTGCCAAATCTGCCTCAGCGTATGAGGAACTGAGAAATTCAAAGGTGCTTACATTACCTAGTAGGAGGACATTGCGAGACTATCGAAATGTCATTACACCATCCATTGGATTTAATCCTGCTCTGGTACAGGAACTTTGTCAAACAACTAAATCCCTGACAGGTATCCAGAGGTTTGTTGTTTTGGCTTTTGATGAAATGAAAGTGCAATCTAAACTAGTATTTATTAAGAACACTGGAGATTTAGTTGGATTTTTAGACTTAGGAGATCCAGATATCAACTTCACAGCCTTTGATGATGCTGAAGAATTAGCAAGCCATGCATTAGTCTTTTACATTCGGGGAATTGCCAGTGATCTGAAATTCAACCTTGCACATTTTGCAACTGGGAGCCTTAAGTCCTACCAGCTCATGCCATTAATTTGGAAAGCAGTTGCAATCCTAGAACTTACATGTAGCCTACCTGTGAGTGTCGCAGCATCCGATGGTGCCTCTGCCAATCGCAAGTTTTACCGTATGCATGCAGCAATGGACAAAAATGCAGGGAAATCGGTTGTTTATCGTACTGTGAATGTGTATGCTCCTGACCGATTTATATGGTTGTTTGCAGACGCTCTCCACTTAATGAAAACTGCTCGCAACTGCCTGTACCACTCTAGCACTGGAAAGTCCACAAGATGTATGTGGAATGATGGCAAGTATCTTCTCTGGCAGCATATCTGCACAATTGTTAATGATGATGCTGAAAATGGACTTAAACTTTGCCCAAAGCTCTCATGTGAGCACACTCAGTTGACTTCCTATTCAGTAATGAATGTTCGTCTGGCTGCCCAAGTCCTGAGTGAAACCACAGGAAAAATTCTGAAAGAATACCACTCCCCCGATATGCATGGTACTGCTGAATTTTGTTTGCAACTTGATAAATTCTTTGACTGTTTAAATGTCCGTAGCAGAGAAGAGGGAAATTTCAAGCGTAAAGATGCACTTAAGCCATACACTTCGCATGATGATGAAAGGCTGAAATGGCTTGAGAATACTTTTCTAAAGTACTTAGAAGACTGGAAAAAGAGCACTGAAGACAGACCAGGTAATTTCAGCCCTACTGACAGACAGAAAATGTTTCTGTCATTGCAGACTTATGAAGGTTTGCAGATGACAGTTTACTCTGTGATCGAGGTTACTAAGTTTCTACTTAGTAAAGGGATGACCTTTGTTCTAACAAATCGCTTCAACCAGGATGTTGTAGAAGAATATTTTGGACGGCAACGCAGCTTAGGCCGCCGCAGTGATAACCCAAACATTTGGCAATTCGGGTTTAATGATAACATAATACGCACTCAGAGATCTGTAGCCCCAGTCACTGGGAATACAGAAGGAAGACATGATAAGAAGAGAAAGGTTTCATGGACAGATGTTGATGAAACTCCTTTGAAAAAAAGGCAAAAAACAAATCGGTTTAGGAGTGCATGATATATTGCAAACTATTATGTAAATAAAATTGTGTTTCCAATTCATTTCCATAGGGTCAAATTACTTTGGGTGTCCCTATTCACTCCCTTCTATAGTATCATAGAACTAAAGGTACTTTGGGTTAGTTTTGTTTATTTTAACAATATAACAATACATATAATTTGGGTAGACATACATTGTATTTAGTTCAATATTTAGTGGGTTTCTGCATTGTTCTCAGACCTTTTCTTAATGTCTTTGCGCAGGGCTTTATTTTTGCATGCTTGCAGTTTGGTTTTATCCTTTACATATGAAAATGCCCTAACTCGCAAGAAAAGTTTAATAGTTTTGTCAAGCAGACAAAATCTAGTTTCTTTGGAGATGGTAGTTGTAAATCCATGTGTCATACTATCATAGGCACTAACCATGTCAATTCGTTGAAGAAGGGCCTCGGAAATTTTGCTGCTATCAATTTTTGTTACATGAACTGCACTGGTTTTTTTGCGGAATTCTTCTTCCACAATTTTGAATACCTGGAGACACTCAGCTGTAACAGCCCAGAGACCACCCCTTGTCTGACAACTTATCAGTTTCTGAGATGAAACATCATCACTCTTTGCAGCATATAGCAAAGTCAATAAATCTTGTGCATTAGTTGATCTCCAATTTGTGAATTTGTGGATCTTTCTTACCAAAGAATGAATGACATATCCAGATAAATACTGAAGTGCTTGCATGTCTCTTTCAGTTACAGGTTTAATAACAATTTTATATTCTGCTGGCCTGCTGTAATGGGCTAGTATCTTGTCTCCAAGCCGTGTTGCAAGGAGCGTGCACATAGGAAAATCCAAGGAATTAAAATACTTTTTCGCATCCATGACAATTAACTGATAAAACTGTGAATAAAATTTTTCTGCATCTGAATTTGAACACAATGAACTGTACAGTTTCTGAATTTCATTGGTAAGTAGTTCAGTTTTATCAACAAAAATGTAATTCTCAACAGTACTACGAATTAGAGTTGAATAGCATCATCTTTTGAAATATCTTTTTGGGCTTCCATTAACAGCTTGAAGATAATCTCTACTTCCAGCTTCGTTCTGAGTTGTGTCTCTGCGCCATTTTGTTGGTGTTTAGATTCTGTGTGCTTCACGAGCCAAGTTTTTGTTTTGTATTTCTTGTGACAAATAGCACAAGAATACTTTGCTTCATTTGTGAACTAAAACAATATTAAAACAATTATCATATACAATTATTCAAATACTATATTTTTAATACAGTACGTATCAGAAGCTGCACACTGTATTAAACTATCGCTATCATTGTTTAACCAGTTAGATAAAATCATTATTATCTAGCAATATTTTATCTTTTTATATAAAAATTGATAGATTTGGGATTGCATTTCACTATTAAAGTACTATTAATAAATGCGTAGTAGAAATACTAAAACAATAAAATAATTTACATTCTTACCTCTTCGATTGCAATATCATTTTCTTCTGCGACTTCTTCGATTATATTGCTATTACTACCAA